GCTGCTGCAGGGACCCTGCCCCACCCCTACTGCTACGAGATCAGCCTCACCACGGGCTCGGGCAACAGCGAGTTCAAGTTCCTCAAGCCCTTCGGCCCCAGCCTGACACCACAGCCCTGGGCCACGGGCGGGGGCCCCAGTGAGGAACAGGTTTTCCCTTGTGTCCCTGTCCCCACAGAGGACGTGACACCGGACGATGCTGGGACTGTCTCTGCAGAACAGTTCAACCGTCTTTCCTTTAACTAGCACGGCATAGGCACGGGGTCAGCATAGGCATAGGTTTCATGCCTCCTGGAAGGCAGAGATGCAGTATGCAGCCTATGGGAATGGTTCCTTTAGAGGAAATCTGTATTTGTGATTGGCTTAACAACGTTCTGGAAAATTTTAAGTCAGAATATGATTGCATTCCCCTTAAAACCAACAAGGAAACAGAACAAAGGGAGCATAAACTCTTGCACTCAGACATTCATATGTTTCAAGTCTGTTAAGGCCATTCCTGTGAGGCTTTAAGAATGGGGTTAGCTCTCCCAGCTAAGCTCTTGTCTCACTTGCTGTCAGACAAGACAGTGGATCTTTAATTCTGTTCTGTAACAGTATGGCACAAACAGTGGGACAGACAAAGCTCATCCTTGCTGAAATGCACAAAGGCCTTTTCCCAGCTCAGAAAAGTAAGGAAATGGTCAGTGCTGTGCCACAATTGCGTGTGAGCACCAAGCCCTTTCTTTCCTGCGTTCCGGATGTCTCTGTCTCAGATATCTGGGCTCTGTGCACTTCACTTTCTTGTCACTATGTCAGTCAATACAGCCACTGTGTGTTTCCTAATGTTCACTGGTGTTGCCCGCTGAATCAGGGAATTCCTGTCACTCAGCCTTTGGAAAGCAGGTAATTCCAGCTCAGCAGGCAAGGAGGGTATTTTGACCCTTCGAGTACAGAGGATTCATGTTCTTTATGTCAGAGAAGAGCAAGGAAATGCACACTAAGATCTTCCTTTGGCCGATAAGAGGGGATTGGGTGTTCTATCTCTTTGCAGTACAGCGGCACAAACATTGTTGGGGTAGACGATATCTGTACAGAGATGTGAAAACCTGTTCATTGTCTTTGGGTGCATTGCATGAAAACTCCAAATGTCCTTCAAAGAGCATTTTCTGAAAGTACAATCAAGATGAGCTTGTGAAAACGACTTTGAGTTTGATCTCCTCATTGCTGCTCCTGCATTCAGCAGAATTTAACTTGGATGCTGTCCCAGCATGACTTTCTGTGTTTGTGTTAGAGCATTTGCATTCTCCTTTAGGCCCTTTTTCCTTGTACTCCCTGAATTGGGTTTGAGCCTTTTTTGCCTGCTCCTTTTAAGGACTGTCACGCCATCTATAGTAACTGATAGCTTTAATAATTTGTGTGATGCATGGAATATTCAGAAAGTCTCACATTGTCTGTGTTGTGCTGAAGTTTTAAAGTGTAACATTCTAAACTGGGATACACCTGAGTGTATCCCAGTCCCTTCGTCCCCAGCCTGCCACCACAGCCCTGGGCCATGGCCGGGGGCCCCAGTGAGGAACAGGTTTTCCCATTGTGTCCCTGTCCCCACAGAGGACGTGACACCGGACGATGCTGGGACTGTCTCTGCAGAACAGTTCAACCGTCTTTCCTTCAACTAGCACGGGGTCAGCACAGGCAGAGGCTTCATGTGTCGTGGTAGGCAGGGATGCAGGCTGCAGCCTGTGGCAATGGTTCCTTTAGAGGGAATTTGTATTTGCAATTGGCTTAACCAGTTTCCAGAAATTGTAAGCCAGAATCTGATTGTTTCCACTAAAAATCAATAAGCAAACAGAATAAAGGAACACAAACTGTTTCACTCAGACATTCATATGCTTCAAGTCTGTTAAGGCCATTCCTGAGAGGCTTTAAGAATGCTTTTCACTCTCCCAGCTAAGCTCTTTTCTCTCTTGCTGTCAGACAAGTCTGTGGACCTTTAATTTTGTTTTGTAACAGTATGGCACAAACAGTGGGACAGACAAACTTCATCCTTGCTTAAATGCACAATGACCTTTTCCCAGCTCAGGAAAGTAAATAAATTGTCATTGCTGTGTAACAATGCCATGTGAGCACCAAGCTCTTCCTTTCCTGGGTTCCAGATGTTTCTGGATAAAATACATGGGCTCTGTGCACTTTACTTTCTTGTCACTGTGTCAGTCAATACAGACACTGTGTGTTTCCTAATGTTCACTGGTGTTGCCCGGTGAATCAGGGAATTCCTGTTACTCAGTCATTGCAAAGCAGGCAATTCCAGCTCAGAGATCTGGCAATTCCAGCTCAGCGGACAAGGAGGGTATCTTGACCCTTTGAGTACAGAGGTCTCATCTTCTTTGTGTCAGAGAAGAGCAGCAAAATGCACAATAGGATCTATATTTTGACCGGTAAGAGGGGATTGGGTGTTCTGTCTGCTTGCAGTACAGTAGCACAAACAGTGTTGAGGTAGACTGTATCTCTACAGAGATGTGAAAACCTGTTCATTGTCTTTGGTTGCATTGCATAAAAACTCCTTGTGTACCTCCAAGAGAATTTTCTGAATCAAGATGAGCTTGTGAAAAGGACTTTGAGTTTGGTCTTCTCATTGTTGTTCCTGAATTCAGCGGAATTGAACTGGGAAGCTGTCCCAGCATGACTTTCTGGGTTTGTATTAGAGTCTTTGCATTCTCCTTTTTGGCCCTTTTTCTTTGTACTCCCTGAACTGAGTTAGAGCATTTTTTTGCCTGTTCCTTTTAAGAAGGATTGTCACACCATCTATAGTAACTGATACCTTTAATAATGTGTGTGATGCACGGAATATTCAGAAAGCCTCACACTGTCTGTGTTGTGCTGAAGTTTTAAAGTGTAACATTTTAACATTACACTCAGGGATACCCCTGAGTGTAAAACTGAAATAATGTGTAAGAGTGAGATAAAGAGAGTACCTTAAGTCCTCGCGTGGAGAAAGAAGTCTTTTGTAGAATCGTTCATTCGGGAAAGCTCTGTCAAGGTTTTTCAAAAGTGTGGGAGGTTTTTTCTCGTTTTGTCTGTTTACTGAGGTAATGTTGGGTGGGTCCCTATGTGTCTAGAGCGTGGCGATGCTGTCGATAGAGTGTTCAATGCCGTGCTCCTGCTGTTACCGCTGCGCTGCCACTGCGGAGGCTCCGGGCCAGTTTGTCTGTTCCGGGAAGGCGGGTCAGTCTTTCCGAGCTCAGCCTCTGCCTCACGCTGCATTGGTAAAAGCCTTCTGAGACTTTTATTGCCGCGTTTCTCAAAAGGCACTGACTCGCGTGTCAGCAGCAGGGAGCTCAGGACTTCCCGCGGGCTGGGGGCAGCGGGGAGCGCGGACAGACTCGGGACAGGTGACGGAGCTCTCCGTGCGTTCGGAGTAAAGCGGCGGCTCCTCATGGCTCATCCCGACCCTTGCCGGCACTTCTATCCCCGCTTTGATGTGCGCGCGTCCTGCCCCGGGCTCAGCCGAGGGCGAGCGGCGGCACCGCGCGTGTGCGCGCGTGTCCGTGGGCCGGGCCGAGCGGCAGCGCGGGCAGCGGGCGGCGGCGGGCGCAGTCCCAGCGCGCACCGCTGGGTGGTGGTCTCGGCTAAGGCGCCGCCGAGCCCGACCCAGCCCAGCTCAGCACAGCCAAGCCCAGCCCAGCTCACAACAGCCCAGCCGGGCGGAGCGGGCAGCGGCTGCGGCAGCGACCGCTGGGTCTGCCAGCCGAGCCTGGCACACCGCGGCTGCACTCCGGGCTGCGGAACCGACTGGAATACAGAGGGAGCAGAAGGGCACCCGACCGCTGCCGCTTTCGTTGGGGACTACGCGAGAGACCCGCGAGAAGGAGATCGGACACCGCCGCCGCCGCCGGAGCCGGAGGAGGGCCATGGCGATGGCAAGGCAAGTGCTTTGTGTGTGTGCTTTGCTCTCCCTGCCGCTCGCTCGCTCGCAGCCCATCCGCTACTCCGTGGCCGAGGAGGCGGACAGCGGCTCCCTCGTAGGCAACCTGGCGCAGGACGCGGCGCTGCCGCCGGCGCAGCTCTCGGCTCGCCGCGCCCGCCTGCTGGCCGAGGACGGCCGGCAGCACTTTCGCCTCGACCGCGCCAGCGGCCGCCTCGTCGTGGCCGACAGGCTCGACCGGGAGCAGCTGTGCGCCCAGTCCGACACCTGCACGCTCGCCTTCGAGCTGCTGCTGGCCGACCCGCTGCAGTTCTTTCGGGTCGAGGTGGCCCTGCAAGACATCAATGACCATTCGCCCGTTTTCCCTGCTGAACGAGTCACTTTTAAGATCCCCGAAAAGAGTGACCCAGGCTCTCGTTTCCCTCTGGAGGTTGCTCGGGACCTTGATGTTGGCAGCAACAACGTACAGGCATACAGCATCTCTCCCGAGAACGAGTACTTTAGTGTCTCCTATGACAGTCGGGTTACAGGCAAGAAGTCTATCGAACTGGTCTTGGAAAAGCCTCTAGATAGAGAGGAGCAGGCAGAGATGCATTTCAGTGTCATTGCTGTGGATGGGGGCTCTCCTCCCAGGAGTGGGACCACCCAAGTCCATATTGTTGTCCTAGATGTCAATGACAATGCTCCAATCTTCACACAGGAGGAGTACATAGGGAAGGTTGTAGAAAACGTACCAACGGGTTCTGTGCTTCTGACTGTGTTGGCAACTGATCAGGATGCAGGAATTAATGGAGACATCTCCTACCAATTCAGTGAAGCAGTTAGCCCGAGTGAATCATTGTTTGAGATTGATTCCACAACAGGAGAAATTAAACTTCGAAAGCCACTGGACTTTGAGGCAGCAGAGACTCACGAACTCACTGTGAGGGCCACAGATGGAGGGGGCCTTTCCGCAATCTGCAAGGTGTTGGTGGAGGTGTTGGATGTGAATGACAATGCCCCGGAGCTGGTGGTCAGTTCCTTCAGCAGTCCCCTCCCCGAGAACTCAGCGCCCGGCACGGTCGTTGCCCTCTTCACCGTCAGGGACCGCGATGCTGGGGCCAACGGCAAGGTCTCCTGTGCCCTCGACGATCAGCTCGTCTTCTCCCTGCGCCCAGCCTATAAGAATTACTATGAGCTGGTGACCGTCAGTGCCCTGGACCGCGAGGAGACGGCTCAGTACATCGTGACGGTGACAGCAGCAGACGCGGGCTCCCCTCCTCTGACGAGCAGCCACACCTTCACCGTGGCCATCTCGGACGTCAATGACAACGCGCCTGTCTTCACCCAGAGCTCGTACACCATGTACGTGCGTGAGAACAATGTGCCCAGCGTGCTGGTTGGAGCCGTGAGTGCCGCAGATGCCGACGTGGGGCTCAACGCCAAGGTGACCTATTCGCTGTCAGCGGGGCAAGCGGCGGAGCGGCCTTGGTGCTCGTGCCTGTCGGTGAACTCGGAGAGCGGGCAGGTGTTTGTGCTGCGAGCCCTGGACTACGAGCAGCTGAGGCAGAGCGAGGTGGTGGTGAGCGCCTCTGACGCGGGCTCTCCCCCGCTGCGAGCCAACGTCACCGTCCGCCTGCTGGTGCTGGACGAGAACGACAACGCCCCGCTCGTGCTCTACCCGGCGCCCGACAGCGGCCCGGCCTCCAGCGAGCTGGTGCCCGTGTCGGCTGAGGCGGGCTACCTCGTCTCCAAAGTGGTGGCCGTCGACGCCGACTCGGGGCAGAACTCGTGGCTCTCCTACCACCTGCTCAGGGCCACCGACCCCGGGCTCTTTGCCGTGGCTGCCCAAAGCGGCGAGGTGAGGCTCAGGAGGCCCGTGACAGACAGAGACAGCGTCAAGCACAAGCTCGTCGTCCTGGTGCGAGACAACGGCCGCCCACCCCTCTCAGCCACCGCCGCTCTCAGCGCACTCCTGCTCAAGGACTTCTCCGACCTGCGCCAACCGCACGGCAGCCCCGCCACCGACGACCAGCCCGGCTCCCTCACCACCTACTTGATCCTTGCCTTGGTCTCTGTCTCCCTGCTCTTCCTTGGCTCCACAGCAGCCTTCGTGGCTCGCAGGCTGTGCAAGAGAAAGGAGCTGAAGGCTGCCCACGTGCTTGACGGGGCCGACAACTTGCCGAGCGGCCTGGCCGAGGCAGCTGCTGCAGGGACCCTGCCCCACCCCTACTGCTACGAGATCAGCCTCACCACGGGCTCGGGCAACAGCGAGTTCAAGTTCCTCAAGCCCTTCGGCCCCAGCCTGACACCACAGCCCTGGGCCATGGCCGGAGGCCCCAGTGAGGAACAGGTTTTCCCTTGTGTCCCTGTCCCCACAGAGGACGTGACACCGGACGATGCTGGGACTGTCTCTGCAGAACAGTTCAACAGACTTTCCTTTAATTAGAACGGGGTCGTCACAGCCAGAGGTTTCATGCCTCGTGGTAGGAAGGGGTGCAGGCTGCAGCCTGTGGGTTTGGTTCCTCCAAGATAAATCTGTATTTGCAATTGGCATAACCATTTTCCAGAAATTGTAAATCAGGGAATACTTGTGTTTCACTAAAAACCAAGAAGCATAGAGAATAAAGGGTCCTAAAGCTCTTTCACTCAGACAGTTGTAGGTTTCAGAACTGATTCAGCCATTTCTGACAGGCTTTAAGAATGGGGTTAGCTCTCCCAGCTAAGCTCTTGTCTCTCTTGCTGTCAGATAAGACCATGGGCTCTTCTGTAACAGAATGGCACAGTTGGGTACACAAATCTCATCCTCTCTGAAATGCATAAAGACATTTTTCCAGCTCAGCAATGTTGTGAACGCAGTGTCTCAATGTCGTGTGAGCACAGGGCTCTTGCTTTCCTGGGTTCTGAATGTCTCTGTCTGAGATACCAGCCTGTAGGAATGGTTCCTCCAGAGGAAATCTGTATTTGCAATTGGCAGAACCAAATTCTAGTAAATTGTAAGTCAGGGAATGCTTGTGTTCCACTGACAACCAAGAAGCAAACAGAATAAAGGGAACAAAATCTCTTTCAGTCAGACAGTAGTAGATTTCAGACCTGATTCAGCCATTTCTGACAGGCTTTGAGAATGGGGTTACCACTCCCAGCCAAGCTCTTGTCTCTTTTGCTGTCACACAAGACAGTAGACCTCTTCTGTAATGGAATGGAACAGCTGGGCAGAGAAATCTCATTCTCACTGAAATTCACAGAGGCCTTTTCCCAGCTCAGATAAATTAGGATGTTGTGAGTGTCGTCCTAGTGTTGTGGAAGCACAGCACTCTTTCTTTCCTGGGTTCTGGATGTGTCTGTCTGAGATGTGTGGGCCCTGTGTCCTTTGCTCTCTTGTCACTGTGTCTGTCTGTGCATCACTAGTGCTGCCTGGTGAATTAGGCATTTGCTCCCATTCAGCCATTGCTATGCAGGCCATGCCATGCTTGTGTTCCACTAAACCCCAAGAAAGAAACAGAATGAAGGGGGCCAGAGCTCTTTCACTCAGACATTCATATGTTTCAGGTCTTTTAAGGCCATTCCTGAGAGGCTTTAAGAATGGGGTTAGCAGTTCCAGCTAAGCTCTTGTCTCTCCTGCTATCAGACAAGACAGTGGATCTTTAATTCTGTTCTATAACACTATGGCACAGAAAATGAGACAGGCAAACCTCATCCTTTCTGAAATTCACAGTGACCTTTGCCCAGCTCAGGTCAGTGCTGGGAAGTTGTCAGTGCTGTGTCACAGTTGCATGTGAGCACCAAGCTCTTTCTTTCCTGCGTTCTGGATGTTTCTGTCTGACATATATGGGCTCTGTGTGCTTTGCTTTCTTGTCACTATGTCAGTCAACACAACCACTGTGTGTTTCCTAATGTTCACTGGTGTTGCCCGCTGAATCAGGAATTCCTGCCATTCAGCCATTGCAAAGCAGGCAATTCCAGCTCAGCAGGCAAGGAGGGTATTTTGATACTTTGAGTACAGAGGTCTCGTCTTCAGAGAAGAGCAGAAAAATGCACAGTAAGATCTTCCTTTGACCAATAAGAGGGGATTGGCTGTTCTGTCTTTTTGCAGTACAGTAGCACAAATGGTGTTGGGGTGGGCTGCAACTGTACAGAGTTATTAAAACATGTTCATTGTTTTTGGGTGCATTGCATGAAAACTCCAAATGTCCTTCAAAGAGCATTTTTCTGAAGATACAATCAAGATGAGCTTGTGAAAAGGACTTTGGCTTTAATCTTCTCATTGATGTTCCTGGATTCCGCAGAATTGAACTGGGAAGCTGTCCCAGCATACTTTTCTGGGTTTGTGTGAGAGCATTCATGTTCTCCTTTAGGTCCTTTTTCCTTGTACTCCCTGAACTGGGCTTTAGCATTTTTTTGCCCGTTCCTTTTAAGGACTGTCACCCCATCTGTAGTAACTGATACCTTTACTAATGTGTGTGATGCACAGAATATTCAGAAAGCCTCACACTGCCTGTGTTGTGATGAAGTTTTAAACTGTAACATTCTAAACTGGGATACCCCTGAGTGTAAATACTGAAATAATGTGTAATTGAGAAATAAAGAGAGTACCTTAATTCCTTGTGTGGAAGAATCTTTTGTAGAATCATTCGTTCGGGAAAAGTCTGTCAAGCTTTTTAAAAAGTCTGGGAGGTTTTTTTCGTTTTGTCCATTTATTGAGATGATGTTGGGTGAGTGCATATGTATCTAGAGCTTGGAGATGCAGGCGATAGAGCGTTCAGTGCCGTGTCCGTGCTGTTACCGCTGCGCTGCCACTGCGGAGGCTCCGGGCCAGGTGGTATCTTCTGGGAAAGTGGATCAGTCTTTCCGGGCTCAGGTTCTGCCTCACGCTGCAGTGGGAAACGCCTTGTGCTGCTTTTACCGCTGCGTTTCTCGAAGGGCGCGGACGCTTCTGCCAGGAGCAGAGACTCACGGTTCCCCGAGGACTGTGGGCAGGGGGGAGCGGGGAGGGCGGACAGACGCGGGACAGGTGCTGACTCTATCCGTGTGCTTGGAGTAAAGCGGCGGCTCCTTAGTGCTCATCCCGACCCTTGCCGGCAATTCCATCCCCGCTTCCATGTGCGCGCGTCCTGCCCTGGGCTCAGCCGAGGGCGAGCGGCGGCACCGCGCGTGTGCGCGCGTGTCCGTGGGCCGGGCCGAGCGGCAGCGCGGGCAGCGGGCGGCGGCGGGCGCAGTCCCAGCGCGCACCGCTGGGTGGTGGTCTCGGCTAAGGCGCCGCCGAGCCCGACCCAGCCCAGCTCAGCACAGCCAAGCCCAGCCCAGCTCACAACAGCCCAGCCGGGCGGAGCGGGCAGCGGCTGCGGCAGCGACCGCTGGGTCTGCCAGCCGAGCCTGGCACACCGCGGCTGCACTCCGGGCTGCCGAACCGACAGGAATACAGAGGGAGAAGGAAGGCACCCGACCGCCGCCGCTTTCGTTGGGGACTACGCGAGAGATCCGCGAGAAGGAGATCGGACACCGCCGCCGCCGCCGCCGCCGGAGGAGGGCCATGGCGATGGCAAGGCAAGTGCTTTGTGTGTGTGCTTTGCTCTCCCTGGCGCTCGCTCGCTCGCAGCCCATCCGCTACTCCGTGGCCGAGGAGGCGGACAGCGGCTCCCTCGTAGGCAACCTGGCGCAGGACGCGGCGCTGCCGCCGGCGCAGCTCTCGGCTCGCCGCGCCCGCCTGCTGGCCGAGGACGGCCGGCAGCACTTTCGCCTCGACCGCGCCAGCGGCCGCCTCGTCGTGGCCGACAGGCTCGACCGGGAGCAGCTGTGCGCCCAGTCCGACACCTGCACGCTCGCCTTCGAGCTGCTGCTGGCCGACCCGCTGCAGTTCTTTCGGGTCGAGGTGGCCCTGCACGACATCAATGACCATTCGCCCGTTTTTCCCGTGGAACGAGTCACTCTTAAGATCCCCGAAAGGGGCGACCCAGGCTCTCGTTTCCCTCTGCAGGGGGCTCGGGACTTTGATATTGGCATCAATAGCATCCAGGCATACAGCATCACTCCCGAGAACGAGTACTTTAGTGTCTCCTATGGAAGTCGGAGTAATGGCGACAGATTTGTTGAACTGGTCTTGGAAAAGCCTCTAGACAGAGAGGAGCAGGCAGAGATGGATTTCAGTCTCATTGCTGTGGATGGCGGCTCTCCACCCAGGAGCGGGACCACCCAAATCCACATTGTCGTTTTAGATGTCAATGACAATGCTCCAGTCTTCACACAGGATCGTTACACTGTGCAGGTTTTGGAAAACGCACCAGAGGGCTCTGTGGTTTTGACTGTGCTGGCAACTGATCGGGATGCAGGAGTTAATGGGGAAATCTCCTACCAGTTCAGCGAAGAAGTGGGTCGGAGTGACTCAGCATTTCAGATTGATCACGTAACGGGTGAAATTAAACTCACAAAGCCTCTGGATTTTGAAGCAGCAGAGACTCACGAACTCAGTGTGAGGGCCACAGATGGGGGGCCTTTCAGCAATCTGCAAGGTGTTGGTGGAGGTGTTGGATGTGAATGACAATGCCCCGGAGCTGGTGGTCAGTTCCTTCAGCAGTCCCCTCCCCGAGAACTCAGCGCCCGGCACGGTCGTTGCCCTCTTCACCGTCCGGGACCGCGATGCCGGGGCCAACGGCAAGGTCTCCTGTGCCCTCGACGATCAGCTCGTCTTCTCCCTGCGCCCAGCCTATAAGAATTACTACGAGCTGGTGACCGTCAGTGCCCTGGACCGCGAGGAGACGGCTCAGTACATCGTGACGGTGACAGCAGCAGACGCGGGCTCCCCTCCTCTGACGAGCAGCCACACCTTCACCGTGGCCATCTCGGACGTCAATGACAACGCGCCTGTCTTCAACCAGAGCTCGTACACCATGTACGTGCGTGAGAACAATGTGCCCAGCGTGCTGGTTGGAGCCGTGAGTGCCGCAGATGCCGACGTGGGGCTCAACGCCAAGGTGACCTATTCGCTGTCAGCGGGGCAAGCGGCGGAGCGGCCTTGGTGCTCGTGCCTGTCGGTGAACTCAGAGAGCGGGCAGGTGTTTGTGCTGCGAGCCCTGGACTACGAGCAGCTGAGGCAGAGCGAGGTGGTGGTGAGCGCCTCTGACGCGGGCTCTCCTCCGCTGCGAGCCAACGTCACCGTCCGCCTGCTGGTGCTGGACGAGAACGACAACGCCCCGCTCGTGCTCTACCCGGCGCCCGACAGCGGCCCGGCCTCCAGCGAGCTGGTGCCCGTGTCGGCTGAGGCGGGCTACCTCGTCTCCAAAGTGGTGGCCGTCGACGCCGACTCGGGGCAGAACTCGTGGCTCTCCTACCACCTGCTCAGGGCCACCGACCCCGGGCTCTTTGCCGTGGCTGCCCAAAGCGGCGAGGTGAGGCTCAGGAGGCCCGTGACAGACAGAGACAGCGTCAAGCACAAGCTCGTCGTCCTGGTGCGAGACAACGGCCGCCCACCCCTCTCAGCCACCGCCGCTCTCAGCGCACTCCTGCTCAAGGACTTCTCCGACCTGCGCCAACCGCACGGCAGCCCCGCCACCGACGACCAGCCCGGCTCCCTCACCACCTACTTAATCCTTGCCTTGGTCTCCGTCTCCCTGCTCTTCCTCGCCTCCACAGCAGCCTTCGTGGCTCGCAGGCTGTGCAAGAGAAAGGAGCTGAAGGCTGCCCACGGGCTTGACGGGGCCGACAACTTGCCGAGCGGCCTGGCCGAGGCAGCTGCTGCAGGGACCCTGCCCCACCCCTACTGCTACGAGATCAGCCTCACCACGGGCTCGGGCAACAGCGAGTTCAAGTTCCTCAAGCCCTTTGGCCCCAGCCTGACACCACAGCCCTGGGCCGTGGCCGGGGGCCCCAGTGAGGAACAGGTTTTCCCTTGTGTCCCTGTCCCCACAGAGGACGTGACACCGGACGATGCTGGGACTGTCTCTGCAGAACAGTTCAACCGTCTTTCCTTTAACTAGCACAGGGTCAGCACAGGTAGAGGTTTCATGCCTCATGATAGGAAGGGATGCAGGCTGCAGCCTGTGGCAATGGTTTCTGCAGAGTAAATCTGTACTTGCAATTGCCATAACCAAATTCTGGGAAACTGTAAGTCAGGGAATGCTTGTGTTCCACTAAAAATCAAGAAGCAAACAGAATAAAGGGACCCAAAACTCTTTCACTCAGACAGCAGTAGGTTTCAGATTGATTCAGCCATTTCTGACAGGCTTTAAGAATGGGGTTAGATCTCCCAGCTAAGCTCTTGTCTCTCTTGCTGTCACACAAGACAGTGGACCTCTTCTGTAACGGAATGGAGTAGCTAGGCAGAGAAATCTCATTCTTGCTGAAATGCACAGAGGCCTTTTCCCAGCTCAGATAAATTAGGATGTTGTGAATAATGCCATAGTGTTGTGTAAGCACAGCACTCTTTCTTTCCTGAGTTCTGGATGTGTCTGGATGAGATGTGTGGGCCCTGTGTCCTTTGCTCTCTTGACACTGTGTCTGTCTGTGCATCACTAGTGCTGCCTGGTGAATTAGGGATTTGCTCCCATTCTGCCATTGCTATGCAGGCCATTCCAACCCAGCAGGCAAGGAGGGTATTTTGACCCTTTCAGTACATCAGTCTCATCTTCTCTATTGCAGAGTAGAGCAGCAAAATGCACAATAAGATCTTCCTTTGGCCTATAGGAGGGGTTGGGTGTTCTGTCTCCTTGCAACACAGCAGCACAAAGAGTGTTGGGATAGACTGTAACTGTACAGAGGTGTGAAAACATATTTGTTGTGTTTGAGGTGCATTGCATGAAAACTCCACATGTCCTTCAAAGAACATTTTCTGAAGGCAGAATCAAAATGAACTGGTGGAAAGGACATTGAGTTTGGCCTCCTCATTGTTTTTCCTGAATCCAGAGGCTTCTCAATGGAATGGAAAGCTATCCCCACATGACTTTCCAGTTTTATGTGAGCACATTTGCATTCTCTGGTGACCTTTTCCCTTCTACTCCCTGAACTGTGTTTGAGCATTTGCTTGCCTATTCCTTTTAAGAAGGACTGTCACACCATCTCTAATAACTGATTTTTTGAATGATGTCTGTGAGGAATGGAATATCCAGAAAGCCTCACGCTGTGTTGTGCTGAAGTTATAAACTGTACCATTGTAAACTGGGATACCCCTGAGTGTAGAAACTGAAATAATGTGTAAGAGTGAAATAAAGAGAGTACCTTAATTCCTGGCGTGGAGAGAGAAGTCTTTGTAGAGAAGTGCTTTCTGGGAAAGCTCTGCCAAGTTTTTTCAAAAGTCTGGGAGTTT